GCTCGTACTCCCCGCGGTAGAGACTCCATTCAAATTAACCCTCACGGAAAAAATGTGGAACCGCCGCGTAAGGGTTAGTAGAAAATTAGAATAGCCCGACAGAAGCTATGCATATGCGCCATGACTATACGTTCATTTTTTTCGGCCACAGACCATACGGCGCTCCTCTCGGATTAATCACTTTTCTTTTCTTCCCTTGCACTACCCGTATCTTTTCTCACGGAACACACCGGTATTATAAACGGCTACGGACGAAACGATTTAATCGGAAAAAACGAAATGAATTTTTGTGAAAAACTTATTTATTTAAAAAATATTTTTTCCCAACAATAAATTTCGATTATATTTATATTACTGTAATAATTATATCTTGTAAATAGCATGAATTAGTAAAATAGTATTATAAATTAGTTATATCTCAGATTATGAGAGAGAAAGTCAAACTTATGTAAGGCCAGTTATGTAAGAAGAAAGATCGCAAAGTTGCAGCAAATTCCGGCGTCTATCGATAAGACGATATCGTGTCTTTTTAAGCTGCCGCGACGAAGCCAGAGTTGAGTGTGTTAATTACTAAACATGGGCCGGTTACATCGCTCGCAAAATTGCATGAATGCATGAATTCTGGCGTACGAGCAATTTACGAGTACGCCGCGCTACACGCCGGCTCTGATATTAGAACTAACGTTCGCTCTGTTAAAACATTCATAGCGAGGCTATAGGTCGGTTGGCTGATTAGCCCGCGCGTTATATTAATCAACGAAAATTAATCAACTTCCGGGTTTAGAATATGCTCGAAATATGAAAGTTTTATGGCCGATTATATTCACGTCGTAGGAATGCGAATCTGAACCGAATCGACGTAAAATTGGCGGGCGCGAAAAAAATCATCCTACTTGAACGAAAGCTCGTTTCGCGAGACTTTTCCCGTTGCCTCCGTCGCGTCATCACTTTTATATTTCTCGTGCTCAAAGCGTCGTTACGCTGTTGTTTAATCTTTCATTCCGCGTCATTTGTGATAAAGGGACCACGTTGCTCTTTTCCGCGGTACTCCCGTCCCTTCTTCTCCACCCCCCCCCCCTTCACCCTCGCGCCGCTTTCTCATCGCTTTGATTTTTCTCGAGACGTCTCCGTCGAGAGGCATTCCGCCGCATGAATTCTTAACCGGGTGAAATTAGCGAATTAAAAGTGCGAGAAAGACGGAAAAACGCGCGGACCCGGAACCGCTACCGGAACGTTGCCGAAGAGAAGGGAGGAAGCGGAAACGAGAGAGGAGGACTCGGGGTTTGAATTCAGGAGCGTTCGTCCTTTTCCCCGTTTTACAGAGGCACCTCGTAAATACGGATATGCAGGCTCGTTTCCAAACTGTTTCGCGCGCAGAAGCGAGGCGGAGGCAGAGGCAGAAGCCTTAATTTTTATTCATGCGCCGACGAAACGGCAATTTTTCGCAGTATTAAGTGGGCTTTAAAATTGTTCGGTCAATTTTGCCGGTAGAACGTGCTCCTTTTTTCAAGTATCCCGCTATCATCGACATCACCCTCGGCGGGGGTGCTTAACCGCGCTCGGTGGTCCTTGCGCGATAGACAAAAAATCGCGTATTCCGTGGCATCTTTCGCGAATTACGTCCGATTGATGCAAGTGTTGCGAAATTTGCTCCGGGGCGAATACCGATGTGTTATCGATAACGTGGCCATTACGCATCAGCGTCTTTCGTAACGCGGATTACGCTCATAGACGGATCATTAGGTCATAGATGTTACCGAATGGACACCCAGATTACGGGCTTTCGTGAGCGTTTAACAATCGTTACCATAGTCCTTTGAGATTCTCCCGCGCTCTAGCCGCTTTTCGATTTTCGCAGCCGGCATACACGTGCCCGGTTAGCGGCTCCGGGAAAACCGATTAATCCCTGGCGCGCAGGGCGGCCGATCATTAGATTTTGGCCGGGAAATTGAGTTTTGCCCGCTGCCGAAGGGATAATCTTTGGTAGCCTCTGGCCTGCCTATGCGCATCGACTCTATCCCCCTCTTTCTCTCTCTCTCTCTCTCTCTGTCTCTCTCTCTTTCTCTCCCCCTGCATCCCAATCGTCGCATACGTTTACAGACACATACTTGTGCATGCATGTGCATTTACGTGTGCGAATATACATACACGATCGTGTTCACGCGCTCGCGCGGTCGTGTGCGCTTGCGACGGTGGCGGCGCGTAACTTCGGTTCCATTATTGAGCGATCGGACGATCGAAAAATTCCCGCGCTTTTTCGCGCTCGGCCATCCCGGTGGGGCGAGTCGATCTCTCATTGGCCCGGGCCGTTTGGTCATCCCTATGCGAGAGGGGGTGGACGGACCTTGCTCTTTCTCTCTCTCTCTCTCTCGGTCCGTCTCTCCCTTGCACTCTATACACCCTCGCCAGGTATTTGTCTATGCTACTGATATTGACCAGCTATCGATATCGTGGACACTCGTCGATATTATATTCTCTCCCCCTCCTCTTTCCGACCCCGTTCTTTTGCTTCGCGCCCTTCCATCCCCCGCGCGCGTTTTATCGGCGACCGTTGCGTTCTCGCAAATTTCGGTTAATGAATTATATGTATAATATATAGACACACGCGTGCACATATATGCGCGCGAACGATGTAACTCGTGTGTATATTTGCGGAACGATGGAACGAGGGGGACTGGGGAGGAGTGGGCGCGTCGGCACGCCGGCGAATTCCTGCCGATTTTTGAATGCGAGCGACCAATCGCCGTGTGCCCCGCCGCGCCAGAATTTCATCGAAATGAGAAATCAATACGCGATGCAAACGCTATAACGGGATTCGTTCCGTTGCAAAAATGCGCGCGATTTGCGAGTATGCCGCTTTGCATTCGCGTTACTCAGCGATATTAATTAGCACGTGCCGATGTTATTGTTTCTCCGATTTTTATTTAAATACATAATCTTGCATCAGTAAATTTAACGAGGATTAATAAAAAAAAAGCTAGATAAATTCTATTTTGCAGTGGCGTGGGATTTTTATCCGATGAAAGTACAATACAACGAATAAAATCGATGCTTTTTTTATTTTTGTCGACTTTTTTCCGTTTAAACTATCATGCATTTATCGCGAAATATTATTAATTGTAACATAATAAAATAATAATGAAGCGATAAATGATGAAATCGCGATTAATTTAGATCTACTTACGATCGACAAATATAAATTGTCAAGAGCTCGTTTCTTTGGCAGAATCAAGATTTATGATTTACAGGGAGCCAACAAGTTTGTTGAGTTTGCATGTTGTATGGACATAAATTTTGCGCCGTTCAATCATTTCTCCTACGCGTTCGAAAATAGAAATATTCCGATTTCGCTAAATGCGAGCCGCAAGCGTTCGTAGCTCTCGTCACGAGATACCGTTGCAAGTTTTGCACCCTCTCTTTCAGTGCAACCAAAGTCGGGGGCCGTGCATACGGGTGCATTTAAAACATTTTATCGGTACAAGTGTGGAAATCCAAAGCGACCCTCTACGCGCGTGCATACACGCCCAGCTTGAGCACCACCCTGCGGAGGACGATGACGAGGGGTGGGATATGTGGGGAAGGGCGGTTATTAATGTAAGGGGTGGCTGAGCAGTAGTTATTTGGCCGTGGGTGGTCGCAACATGGAGCGAGAAAGAGAGAAAGACCGAGACATGAAACGAGAAGACGGGAGGTCGAGAGATGGGCCGGCTAAAATCAATGCGAGTCTTTCTTTCGACGCTATTTACGGTTAAGAAAAGTCAGGCTCGGCAGAAGCGCGGCGCGGTGCGGAAATAAAAAGATAAACGCGAGCGTGGAAAACCAGGTTACGCTGGATATTCTCGTCAAAACTCACGACACGTTCGCTTTTATAAGCCGCTCCGATCGAGCGTGCGATGACGCTGCTCACGTCGCAATTATACGCACGAATTTGTGTCGCGTAACGCCCTCGTTGCGAGGAAAGTTTGAGAGAACGACTCGAACGATTCGTTATGTCGAAACCGTTGGGATCCGTTTACTTTGTCGACGAGCTTTTCCTCGGATCGATTGTTACTTAGGGTCTCGTATCTCTCTTCCGCTCCGCACCGACTCGGACGATTCGATTAAATAGCTCGAATACCCGACGCGGGGTATTCATCTTTTTCTCTCTCTTTTGCTCTCTTTTTTTTTTTGCTGCCCTGGCAAAGCAAATCTTCGTTAAGGTCAACGAGATTTTTCCAAGGGTCTAGTAGTCGTGCACGGCGCACGCTGACCGTTCGCTTGCAAGGCTAATACCTTCCGAGTGACTACGCTCATCCCTTAATGAAATTCTTTCTACCCGGACGCGACCCATTGGCTCGCCTTTGCAGCCAGATCGGGTTTTCTCATTATTGCGAATCCTTGGTGCGCGGCCCGGTCGATATTATTTTAGTCCGCCTTCTACGCGGCTGCATCATTATCTAAATATCGGGGAGTTTCGCGGGGCGCGAAAGAGCAGGAGCGTAGAGGGCAAACGGATGCGCACGCCTTCGTCGATTCGTTCGTTCGTTCGCTGGTTTGTTTAGCCGAATCTACTCTATGACTCTAGAAATATTTTACTTGCACGCATGTTGCATGCACAAAGCAATTTCGCACTGGTGCGCATTCAAGTTAGTCACAATCGGGACGCATGATTGCCCGTACAGACAATAACTGCATATTAATTTATTGATTATTGGCTATAGCCCGGGCGATATAGTATTCATAGAATTTACTATAACAGCAATATATATTCGTGCACTAATTTATTGACCAATAACTCGGCGCGATTCTATAACGACGACGAGCCCTGGGCGCCGGTATGTGTGGGTGTGTGGCGGGGTACCAAAGGGTTTAACGCGTATTATTCTGCATTAATTTATAGTCGTGCCGACCGATTACGCATGGCGGCCGATTTTAATCGAAGCGAACGAAATCGTAATCCAGGGGAAGGAGAAAAAAAAAAGAGACGCGAAAATATAAGCCCAAAATCACAATCCACTCACCCGTATGCAGTCGTGTGTGTTGCTGCACGTGGCTGAGCTGCTTGAACCTGCGGTCGCAGTAGCTGCACTTGTACGGCTTCTCGCCGGTGTGGACCCTGATGTGCTGCACGAGCTGATGATTGCTGGAGAACGACTTGAGGCACTGCTGGCACTGGTGCGGCTTAACCTCGTTGCCGGCGATCATGCCGCCGGGTCCGACGCCGACGCCGACACCGACGCCAAGACCGGCCAGACCTCCGGCGATGCCGCCGCCGGGCCTCGCCGTCAGCGCACCCGCGCCAAGCTCCCTCGCGTGCATCTGCATCGCGTTCTTGTGCATGAAGATCTGCGAGAAGAACTGCCGGGGTTAGTTGGTACGCTGTACTTTTCGCCGAGCAACGGGGGAATGGCAAATCGACCCTGACCGCCGCGATAATTTGCCAGTCGATCGCCATTCGTCCTCTCGCACTGCCGAAACCGGAGAAGAGACCGTCGTCTCGATCCTTCTGCGTCATATCGATGCTTCCGTACGAAGGCTCGAGCGCGCAATAGCAGCGCTCTGAGTAATGTCCGTTTGATAGTAAACAAAGCGAGATACGGCGGAATACTCTACCGTGGAACTCATTTTTTATTGATGTGTAAAGTGTCGTTTAGACAATTATTGTATATATGAATATATACCTTTTCTTACAATTGTAAGATAAATATATTTTGCGAGTATTTTTAATAATGAATAAGGCGTTGTCGTTCCAAGGTATCGTATTCTTTCTCACAGTTTCGGCATGGATATTTTAAAACGCGCGCAGTTCGATCGATCCTCGTATCACGCGTGCTAATTTTTATAAATTTTCATATATTATAAAATCATAACATCGTTACAGATCGGGAGAGCATGCGAAATAATATCGCGATGTCGTATCAGCGAACTCTCGAGTGATACTGATAGTTGAACTTGACAACTAGACATTAGCAAGGTCGTGTTATAGCAAGGCCGAGAGTGTGTATATACACATGTGTTTTGCGGAAACACAATGTTTTGAAAAATTTAAGTATCGATTCACAGTACATTAGCAAGCCTATAGTACGCGAGTGTTTACATCTCGTCACGTATTATTATACGTTCCGAAGTTTTTCAAGTGTATGTCACAATGTGTGTATTACGATACAATGTGTCGTTCAAATGCTTACAGTTTATCGACTTTGTTTCCATTGATTTCGACGCAAATTTCGGTCTATTGAAAAATCGCGTTTGCGGGTGTGAAGAATTCCGCGACGAGACATACGAGAGAGCGACTCAATCGCTACTCTGCCTCTTCCTGAGCGCTGCGAGGAAGAACCGAAACTGATAGAACGGCGAACCGGGCCGCGTAGCCGGCGAAGGAACGTTCAATTTCGGGTTCTCCTCGTTCTCTCGGGGAACAGGTGTTACGCCACTACGGTAGGTAGATAGGTACGGTGTGGGTGTAGGTGAACGAACGAAAGGGTTAACGTTAAGGCTGTACAGTCCGCGGCAAGAGTCGGATCGGGCGAGGGAGAAGGATTGAGCTGAAACTTGGCGGGGAATTAAAGAGTCGGGCGGGAGGGAATAGGACTCGCGAAGACGGCGAAGGATTTTATTAAAATATGTTAAAACTGTAATTAAAATCGAAAAATCTCGTGAGAAGTTTTAAGAATCTTAGGTCACCCCTTTCGCGACGAGGAGCACCGGGTTGCGAGGAGGAGACGCGCGAGCGAGGAGGACATGGTCTCGGGCGAGAGACAGAGAGAGAATTGAAATTGTCACCGGGGGTTCTCAAGTTTCCGTGAGTTTCTCCACCGGTTCGTCGTTCGACGTGACTGCGGGATACTTGACGGGCGACGACGATCTCGACGCACTCGGAGCTGGGCATCCCTGGACTCTCTTTAATCCCCGTGGGAGAAGGAGAGACTGCCCGGCACGATTTTATTCCGCGTCTTTTTCCTCGCCTTTTTCTACCTCCGCCCGGACACGGTCGACCGGCTGTTGTTCGTCGCCGATTTGAATGAAATTGCTCCTGTTTTGCGGCACTCGAGGGGAAAAGGTTATGCTTCGTTTAATCGATGTACGATCCTGGCAAATACGTCGATACCTGGCGAGCCTCGGTTGCGTAATGCGTTTTAGTTGCATTATGAATAATGAATAATGTGAAGAATTATTGATGCCTGCAGCATCGAATATATATGGCAGACACAAATAATGCATATGTACATATTGTTTCAAAATGCAGTTAAAAAGACAACGTGTGTACGATATAATCGAACGTATTTTTACACTATGTATTATATCAATCTGTTTATTTGATATCTCAAAGATGTCTATGTAATTGTTTGCCAACACAGGTTTTCTCTTTTCGTATCCTTTGCCCCTCGCGAACAGACTTTCGACGATGATTAGGATCCCGGGAGTCGGGAATGACAGAAGGGTTCGTGAAAAACGATTTGACGCCGAGGCCAAGTCGCGTCGCGAATTTTTAACGACTGTCTCGAGTGGCCCATCGAGATTTCTTTAAATTGTAGAAAAAAAAAAGAGGTTTTGCTTGTCGAATTACCCATACTTTTTATGTTGATGATTATCGGATTTATGCATACAACTCGCATTTATAATGATGTACGAATAAAATATGCAGTTTTAAGAGAGTTTAGTTTATCTTGATGAAAACTCTTTAACTCTAAAACGCGCATTTTTACAATTAAATTGTAATTAAATGCAAAATATAATGCTATTATTTTTTAACAATTCTCAAAGATTAAAGACAAATCGTGGGACTTTGGCGGCATCGACACACGAACAATGTCGGCTATTATTCTCCGTAAAAGTTTTTCGACAGAGTTTGGTGAGAATACCGCGCATTTCTTAAATTTCAAGACTACGCGGTCATTAATCAAATTTTTATCTCCTAGCAGAAAATTGCGTCCCGACGCCCGACCATACTGGCGGTTTGAATCTTTTTTTCTGATTTATCGCCGTCGCCAGCCGCGGGAAAAAAAGAGAGAAGTCGCGGTCCCGCCGGGGCCCGCGAGGAAAAATGGAAAAAGAAAGAAGAAAACGGGAAGAGTTGGCCCGCGGGTTGTTGGCTTAATGTCCTTAATAATGGAAAAATATATCAAATGACGCCCACTGTATTTCCTTAGAAGCATTTCTCCTTCCGATGCTACTCATCTCGTCTATTTTCACCCCTCGCCCGCGATTCTTGGCGATATTTTAATTTTTACATCTATCCCTCCTCCCCTTTCTTCTGCTTTTCTCTTATTTTTTTATTAACTCTATAAAAGCGCTCATCAAACTTTGCGTTTCTTTCTTAATACAGTAAAATCTAGAACCAGCAGAGATAAGAAGTGTTACGAGTATTTTCAGTAGAGATCCGTTAATACGTAATAAAGAAAACTCTAATTTTAATTTCTTACTCGTCTCTATCTTATTTCAACACTAGTAATATCTTTAACACAAGCGTGCGACTCCTCGCGAGATTCCCGCTTGAAAAATGTACACGACCTCATTTCCCTGCTATTCGAATCGCGACGTATGGCTCTCGTTCCCCGCATCGCGGCAGGTTTCTTTTTGATGCTGATGCTCCAAGGGATCGTTAGCATTTCAGGAGGAGCCGACCGCGCAACCCTTCTTTTTCTTCTCTTCTCTCTCTTTCTCTGTACCTTCTCTCTTACAGTGAGTTACGTCCGCGAGTAACGTCGGGCCACTCCAAGTGGGCTACTTTATACACTTGGAATACAAAGCAAAGGTCTCACCTGCTGACCATATGCCTTCTCTCCACGCGCGCGCACACGCATACACGGCGCCCTCTGTCCACCCACGCACGCTGGCCATGCAGCGGCTCACATATGTTATATCGTTACCCATGTACGCGTACGTATGTACATGCGTGTGCGTGTGTGCGGCGAACGCATACGTGTACGGAGACAACGTCCAATCTAACCTAGCATGACCTGACTCATTCGCGGACCTACCTACCCACCTATCTGACTAAACTACCGCCGCGGATAGTATGTACTGCGATATAAAGGAAAAGGGGGAGAGCCACCCCCTGTAATTGTCGGCTTTAATCCGCTTGAATCGTTATACGTTGATTCTCCGCGCGGTATGTTGCACGTTTCCGGTCGGCGCGGACGATCGTTTGCCGATCAGCTGCGTGAGAAGGACGATTTGATTTCTTCGGAACCGATGCTTCGGTCTGTTCTGTCTCGCTATCATTCTATTTTTCGCATCTGCCTAATGTTAGAGTCGAATGTAAAAGCGCACTAACCTTGACTCGTTATGCGATATCTCGACGGGAGCAACTCCTTATCTATATGAATCGTTTAATTACACGCATAGACGAGCGATCGAGCTACGGAACAGATTTTATTACTAATTGAAATAGTTTTATATGATAATTCTAGAAAGTCTTTGCATGTAAACACTTTCGCTACAGTTTCATACCAACTTTATTATTTTGTAAAAAAAAAAAGAATAGATGAAAGAGAAAAAAAACGCATTTTTAATTAACATTACGGGTGTGTATGAAAAATTGATTGAATCTTTGAAGAACGAGATTTTTGTCACCGCTTTAAAAGTAGTATCTCTCTCTTTTCGTTATCTTCTTCTACGGTAGGCAAAATTGTCGGTGGATAGGATCGAATAACACAACGCGGCACGTCGAAATTAAGGACGCCGAAAGGTAGTCGTTATCCTGCGTGGCATGCATGGGGTTGGCCAGTAAAAGAAAGAAAAAGAAAAAACGGAAGAATCGGGCAGGGGCCGCGAGATCGCGCGATAGCGGACCATCGATCGTATTAATGTGCGTCGGCGGACAGCCGGCCAAATCCAATGTCAAGATTACAAAGATCGCCGGGCGAAAGTCTATCAATGATCAGTCGGGGGATTTTACGGTCTCGTCTTGTCTTGTTACGAATGTGTAATGTTATACTCGACTCGATTCGGTTTATGCTCGACACGATGGATTTGCCATGGATATCCCATTTCCCCTTCGTCGAGCTCGTCGTAAACGGAACAGCGCGACGGATGTCTCGACTTCGTGACTGCTAAAAAATAATCTCAATCTACGGAAAGTTTTCCGACACGACTCAGCCGCGCCAATTTTCACGGAGAGCGATCAAATATACAACGGCCATTTTTAGCGCGGCTTCTCGAAAGTGTTAATTATTTAACGGCCGTTTTCGGCCGCGCTCCTGTCACGTCGATATTTCCAAAGACCGTTCCCCTCGCTCCGCAAGGTGATTTTAGTGACACGTGAATCTTAAAGACGAAGGACCCGAACGCGAGCGAGGAGAATGTACGCAGTTGCTAGGCTGCGAACGGGTTTCGATCGCACGACACTCGCTAAG